AAGATGTTAACTACCATAAGGAATAAATAGTAAGTTTTTAATGAAATTATTTATTTTATTTTCGCGTTATTGAATACTTGCACCACTGCCAACTTCGTTACAGAAAACTTGGTGCAGCGCCTCAGCTTAGCGATAAAGAGCCACGAAATGTCGATTAGCGCAATNCCGCGTGTCTTTGGCAATGCCCCTTCACTGCTGTGCTGTCTGCTCGACGGAACATTCTCCCTAGATTGTATAGCTATATATACGATCTAGGGAAAAGTTTCGATATTGAATCTGCCTAACCCAACGCTGCTGCTCTTGGACAAGAGACAGCCTCGCGGCTGGAACCGATCCAGATCGCGCTCTAGAGGAAGAACCAACCAGGCAGTCAACAACGCCGCAAACCCAGACTGGGGCCGGTTCCACCAGCGGTTCGGGGCAGCCCATAGAGATATAAGCCAGGCTTATATCTCTATGGGGCAGCCGCGATGAAGTGCAGTCCACCGTGCACCTTCGGTTCGGCTGGTTCGGGAAACCTGTGAGGCCGCCTTCGCCCCAAGTGGTGGAGCCGGGCCAATCTGAACCCTCGGAGAACCGCTTTCATATCTTCGACCGAGAGTCCCGGGTAAATTTCCTGGTCGACTCTGGGTCCGTCATCTCACTTCTTTCCAGGCACCTCATCAAGGACCGAGAACTACAACGTCAGCCGTTGACGCTCACGGCTGCCAACGCCTCGCCGATAGCCACATACGGCACCCACATCCTGACAATAGAGCTGGGTCTCCGACAAGCAGCGACGTGGAGCTTCACCGTCGCCGATACCCAGGTCGCCATCATCAGAGCCGACTTCTAGACGCATTTCGATTACCTGGTAGACTTCAAGGGTAAGCGTCTCATCGACCCAAAGACCAAGTTTTTCTCGCTAGGCTCCCTGGCTCCTGCATCAGTGCACAGCGTGTCAGTGGTGACGACTCCAGCGCAGGCTCCTCCTGGAGACTTGGGACACCGCTACTCGGACCTCCTCGCGGAGTACATGCTCCCCAGGGCAGCGCTTCCTGACCTGTCAGTGCACCACACCATCCACACAACAGGCCCGCCGGTCGTTGATCGTCCTCGATGTCTACTCGGACCGCGTCTGCAGGCAGCCAAGGTGGAGGTAGGATGTCTCTAGGAGCAAGGCATCGTTCGCCCCTCGTCCAGCCAGTGGGCGAGTCCTCTCCACCTCGTCGAGAAGTCCAGCGGGGGCTGGAGAGTCACTGGAGACTACCGGTGTCTGAACGCCTGTACTGCTCCGGACCACTACCCCCTGCCAATCATTGACGACCTACTGCAGGAGGCATCTGGGAAGGTCTTCTCTGTCATAGACTTGCGAAAGGCCTTCTACCAGATCGCTATTACTCAAGAGGACATTCCGAAGACGGCCATCACGACTCCGTTCAGCCTCTTCGACTTCACGGAGGTCCTCCATGGGACTCCGCAACGCAGCGCAGTCACTGCAGTGGACGATGGACCACGTCCTACGCGAGCTTTCCTTCGCCAGATGCTATCTCGACGACACCTTCGTGGCCTCTGAGAACCACGAGCAGCATCTCCAGCACCTGGGCCAGCTTTCGAAGTCTTACGTAAGGCGAAGCTCCGCGTAAACCCGCAGAAATTCGTCCTTGAGCAGGACCAGGTCGACTACCTGGGCTATACGGTGTCTGCCAACGGCGTCCGCCCTCCATCACGCAAAGTCCAGGATATCTAGGACTTCCCAAGACCAAGCAACTCCTCCGAGCTCCGACACTTTCTAGGCATGATTAACTTTTACAGGCGTTGTATACCCAAAGCTGCTCGTGCCATGGCTCCCCTCAATGACTTATTGAAGGACCTACCACCCAGGAGTAAAAAGGCTTCGCTCGCCTGGACGCTTGAAGCCGACACCGCCTTCCAACAGTGCAAGGAGGCACTGGCAAGAGCCGCTACGACAACGTTCCTGTGCAGGCCAAATGCTCCGGTCACCTTGAGGACCGACGCATCTGACACCGTCATCGGAGCAGCCCTAGAGCAGGAATACCCGCGTGGCACCTGGAGCAGGTCACTCGGTTTCTTTTCGAGGAAGCTTTCCGAGACCGAGAAGAGATATGCGGCCTAGGACAAGGAGCTCCTTGCTATCTACACCTCAATCAAGGTCTTCAAACGAGTGCTTGAAGGACGCCCATTTACAGTCTGCACGGACCATAAGCCACTCATCTTCGCAAGACGCCAGCGCTCCGCCAAAGCCTCAGCGAGACAGGCTCGGCAGCTCGACTACATCCTGCAAGACCAGGTAACTCTTGCTCGTGTCAAAGGAGAGGACAACATGGTGGCCGATGCCCTTTCGCGCATCAACGCCGTATCCATGTCCTGGAGATCCAGGTTGTAGCCAACGCCCAAGCCGAGGATGACGAACTCCATCATCTGCTGGAGGACCCTCATCTCGACCTGCAGCCGCTCACCATCGATGGTCATCGCATTTTTTGCAACCTCTCCACGGAAAACCTGAAGCCGTACTTACCTGAGAGTCTCCGCAAGACAGCGTTCGATTCTCCACAACCTGGCGCATCCCAGCGTCAGAGCAACGATCCGCCTTATCTCAGAAAAATTCATGTGGCCCAAAATGCGTAAAGACGCTACACGCTGGGCCCAGCAGTGCGATCCCTGTCAGCGTGCCAAGGTCAACCCACCTGAAAAAGAAAGACGGAATTCCATGTGTGATTACTTCTGTAATACCTTCAGGAAAGCCATGTGGCATTACATATGGTTTTACGTAAGGCATTACATAAGGGGTTTTAGCTTGGTAATGCCATATGTAATTCCATTTGAAAAAACACATAGAATTACAAATTAGAAAAAAGAAAAAAATTTTATCATCTAGAAATAACTGCAGAATACTGTAATGCGTCGTTTACTGTGAACAATTAGTGTTACTATTTGGATGATAACTCGAAAACAAAAGGATTCAAGTTATATTTCAGGAATAAAAAAAAAAAATAATAAAAATAAAATTTTTTTCTATAGAAGTAAAATCAGCTGAACCCCCTTCTTTTGGAGTTATCATCCCGATGGTAAGATAAATTGTTAACAGCAAATAACTTATTATGGTATTTAGCAGTTATTTCTAGATGATAGCAATTATTTCTTTTTCCAATTGATAATTCCATGTGTTTTTCCATATAGAATTACATATGGCATCACCAAGCTAAAACCCTTTATGTAATGCCATATGTAAAACCACGTGTAATGCCATATGGCTTTCCTGAAAGTTTTACAGAAGTAATTCTACATAGAATTCCGACATTTTTTTTCAGGTGGGAACCGACATAATCGGTCAGCTCTAGGCGATTTTAACACGCCAGATGTCCGCTTCGACCATATTCACGTCGACCTGGTTAAGCTTCCTCTCTCCAGAGGATTCCAATACTGCCTGACCATCACAGACAGGTTCTCCAGATGGCCTGCGTACCCATACCCGAATCAACAGGCCCCGACTGTCGCCAAGGCTCTCTACAACGAATGGATCGCTTGTTTTGGGACGCCGCTCACTATCACCTCTGACCAAGGTGCCCAATTCGAGTCAGCTCTTTTCACCAAACTCGCCAAGATGATTGGTTCGCGCCGCATCAGGACGACACCCTACCACCCACAATCTAACAGGATGGTAGAGAGCTTTCACCGAACTTTCAAGGCGGGACTGATTTGCAACCCAGACGTCCCTTGGCCAGATGCACTGCCTTCAGTCATTCTTGGTTTGCGCACCACTTTCAAGGAAGACCTCCAAGCATCACCAGCCGAGATGCTATATGGTACAACGCTGAGGGTGCCAGGCGAGTTCTTCACTGTGCAGAGCAACCCAACTGCTAAACTACCCTCTTTCGTCCAAGGCCTTATAGGCTTAGCTACGCCGCCTTACACAGGCTATAAAACCTGTGCAGGACTCCAGGCACTTACCGCCACAAAAGCCGTTCGTATTCAGCGACCTTTAGGTGGCCATGAAGAGAGCGTAGCTCTTCCTCACTCTCGTCCCGCGTTTCGACCAGCTACAACGTAGGCACGCGCCTTGCTCACGGTCAACGCTTCGAGACGTTTCCAACGTTATACCCTTTCTCTACACAATGATTTGTTTTTGTAAAAATGAATTGTAAGTTTTAATACGTGGCGAGTTCTTTCTTCCACGACCTGGCATTCTACCTCCGGCATCCTTGAGCACCGGGGACAATCTCACTCATGACTTCCCCAAACATATACTTACCGTAACTCGTACTGCAGTGTGTAGTATTCTACAACAGTACAGTAAATATGTTATTATACATATATACATGTATACATAAATCCTGGCTAGGCCTTGGGGTGTGTTCCAGTAACGCTCTCCGACAACTTAATTATGTCTTACGATATCTTGCGTCATGTTTAAGTTGTCGGTAAGTTGTCGGAGAGCGCTACCGGAACACACGGTTGATCATAGCCTGTGGTCAAACTCATTCCTGATTCATGATCGGAAATCGTACGTAGGCTATAACGGGGGCCTAGCTAGGCATAATGCACTACTAGCTAGGCCCCCGTTACAGCCAAGGTGCGATTTCCGATTAAGTTAGGACGTGTGATAAACTCTATATTTAAGAATGCCCAGGCCTTGGCATCCATAAACATATAAGGAATACAGACTGCTCGTTCTTACATACGGCGCTGAAGCACAAGTAGGAGACACAACACCGAACGTGGGTACCTGTCTCTTTCGCACATTGCCTCAGGCGGTAACGTGAAAGAGAAGCTGATACCCTCGTTCAATGTTGTGTCTCTTTCTACTTGTGCTTCAGCGCCGTACAGGCGTAAGAACGAGCAGTCTATATTTCTTGTATGTCTGTGTCTATACTGGCATCGATGTAAAGGTTGCCTGGCTAGGCCCTGGTCTTAACCTCCGGATCACATCCTTGCCGGGTCAATGTTCACTCCACCATTCCCCCATCCGGACAATTCTTTAAACTGAGTAGTGCGTTTATTTCCCAATCAAAAAAGTCACAAGTATTAATTAGGTGATGTAAACAGTCTCTGCAACGTATATTTAAAAAAGATGCTTAGTAATACTAAACTAAGAGTACGGAAAAAAATTCAAAAAACAATACATTAAATGGTTTTTACAATGATAACATGACATATGTACATAGGTTTTAGCTATTCACGGTTATCGACAATCAGATGAAATATTTAGTGCAAAGCTAGGCTCATTGAGGAAAAGTTTCAAAAGAGAAATAGAATTTACATTTGTAAGGGCACCTCATAAGGTTTCTCCTGTGAAAAACTGTGACAATGAGATAGAAAATGTCAATAACGCTCAACGTAATGTGTTTTTTGGTTTAAAAAAATTTTATATAAATCAAATTCTATGCCAACATACAGCGTTTTAAGGAAATGTTGAGCCGTTTTTAATCAATTCACGTTCTCAATATTAATTACAGAATATGGTTGGTGGTTTAATACAGAAGACAGAGTATTTCAAGCAATTGTACCTAGTAACTTATCAGTTGGTTTTGAAGATAGTATTCAGTTAATTAAAAATATCTTTAAAGAAAAAGGACCATTTGATGGCCTAATAGGTTTTTCTCAAGGAGGATCATTTGTATCTCTACTATGTGTAATGCAACAGAGAAATAGTATGTTAAATTTTGTTTGTAAAATTTCTCATGAAATTATTCGTAGAAAGAATACTATTGTAATAATAACCCTTCTAGTCTACTATTTATTGCTTTATTACTTTCAGTTCTCCCAATTAAGTTTAATTTTGCTATTATTATTTCTGGTTTTAAATCGCTTTGCAAGCCACACGAACTATACTACTCTGAAAACTTGACGTTACCAATATTACACGTTTATGGAGCTAATGACAAAGTCATTCCAACAAGTTGGTGTCTACTACTGTTTATGAAAATTAAAAAACTATTACATAATAACATTTATCTTTTACAGATATGTCTGAAGACTTGAATAATATGTTTGAGAATAAGGACACTTTTATACATGAAGGAGGACATTTTGTACCAGGAAAAAAACAAATTTTTAATGAGTTTATTACAAGAATGTTAGAGATAAAGAAGGGAAATCAATGACATGAATAATATAAATTTAGTATCAATGCTTTTTATTTAATTGTACACAGTAAACGAATGAATAATTTAGTTTACAATATAATATCTAGTAAGTATTCAGTTGTTTAATTAAATAATTGTAAAAAAAAGGCAAAAATCAATGCACAAAATAATTTTCAAAAATTTTAGTACCAAGCGATGAAAAAAATTGTTATAAATTACTAATTTCTTAAAGAAGTCTTCATGAATTAAGGTTAACTAAATTTAAAATTTAAATTGTTCATAATGATGTGTTGATTATTCTAATACCTTGTGACAATATTTTATACTGTTACTTTATTTGAGTTTAGGCTTGTATGTTCCAATGTTAAAACATTAAAAAAAAACATTTAAAATACTTGAAAATGTAACAAAAACATTTTACAAAAGTTAAGATTAACAAGTTAAACCAAACCTGTACATGCTTACACATTTGCAAAGTTTACAAAATTGTACAATTTCTCATATCCATTTTACTTATAGAGGTAAAGGTCACAAATGTCATAAAAACGAGTAAATGTTGTCAAGGTAAGTCTTACAAATAATATTAATATAAAATATCTGTTTACTTACTCTTCGATATATAAGCACAGTTAGTTTAAAAACATTATATCTGTTAAGCTTGACATGACTGATTTTGATCTTATAATTTTCTTTCTTAAATAGTTTGGTACATATTAGCACTTATTACTAATAAATGGATTATTATACACTTTTTAACATAAACCATTGTAAAATATCCATTTTCAAACATCAGCAGTGTATCTTGAAGTCTTGAAACTATTAGATAAATTACACAGGAAAATTCATAACATGACTTCACTTTTGTCCAATATCCTCATGGTGTTTGCTCTTGTCCATTGGTTTCTTGCGTTTTCATAACTTCAGGAAGGTCAGGAGGTATGGAAAATGGAGTCATTTCCAATTGTTCGAATTGCCCATTATCTTGACGCAGAGCTAATCCAATCAATGCTGGACACTGAGCTTTTGCAGTTGATGATAACAGTCCATAATCAGATAGATATTTATTGTCCGACATGACAACATTGTCTTTATTGAATAGTTGTTGATTAACAATAGGAATTTTTAATATCCCTAGAAAAAATTTTAAACTAAGTAAGATACCTTTATTATCTTGGCATCATTTAGTAAATGGATAAATGAAATGATATTACAACAAAACCATAAAATGGGTTTCTCGTTAGATAACTTTGTTATATAAAAGAAACATACATTAAAGAAAATCATCTTAATTGTCTTTGGTTACTATTTTAGTGAAAATCATAATGTCTTGGTAAGAAGTAACAAAAAATTACCTTCAATGATTTTTTTTAATTCCAAAACTGTTGTGTTTTCCTTAGCATCTGTGAAAATTGTCATTTTTTTTCGCCGAATCATCAAAAAAACATCCTAAAATGATGAACATGAATTAACCTTGACGATGACACTTGCGACACAATTGATTTGTCTTGAAATACAAGGATTATCTTGCGTGATTATAAGGTGGAAGTTGGAAAACTTACCATTTTTATTTTCAAAGTTATCTTACTTTGTATAAAAATTTATCAGGACTAAAATACTTAAATAAATGTTACAGCTACGTGATGTGGAGATCCGTTGACCATTGCAAACAGAGGTGGCAAGATTGAGGACATGAGGACTAGCAAACTAGCATCAGGGATGCCTGATGGTCTGACGGAGCCAATGGCATAGACATATAAAAAGTAGACTGCTCATTTTTGTGTACGTTGTACGGCAGAGATACCCACGTTCGATGTTGTATCTTCTTCTACTTGTGCTTTAGAGTCTTCCTTCAGACCAACAACGAGCAGTCTACATTTCTTATATGTCTATGGTTGTAATAGTAAGGGTGCCTGTACATGGAAGACCTGCTGTTTGAAGTTGCCAAACAGAGACTTGTGAAGTTGGCGCCCGTAAATATTAAATATTAATATTTTGCATCCATTTAGGGTTTAAACGATTCCTCCTTACTTGCGAATTTATTCTTCATTTGAATTTTTATTTGCGGATCAATAGTTTGCGAGATATTTGCAAAATAAAAAGTCGAAAATGGGCGCGGCGCTGAAGTATAAAAAACTGTTTTAAGTGCTAAATTGGGTTAAAATATAATTCTACCTGTACGATTCGATTCCTCCTCATTTGCGGATTATGGAGGTATATGAATTAATGTAATTAAATGTCACAAAGTTTGTAAATGATGAATTTAATTATTGAGTGAGAGAATCTAGTAACTAACAATTATTACTTGTGTGCTTAGCTGTGGCTTATCTTGGGATGATTATAGCTGCATACTGCTACTTTTTAGTTGTGTTGTTATTTGTTTCTTGAATAACAACAAATATTAAAATTTCGCGCGTAATGAATAAATATCAGTCCACAGTATTTGCCACAATAGGGAGCCTGTACATGGATGTCTGAATGTCCTAAGACTGTAAGCCAAACCTATGGCGAGTGATTCAATTCGAACTAACGTTAACTGAATATTGATATAAATTGTTTTAAACAAGATAATAGGCGTCCTGTTTGTAACAAAACTATGTTACGTGATTGCATTATAATATTGGAAAGATATTTAGCCACCAAAACTAAAAAAAAATTTGCTAACGCTGAGTCGTTAAAAACAGAGGTTATGTTGACAAAATTATTGTATTAACTTGAATTGTAGAAATTTTCCATTGGATGCCTTAAAGGCGTTCTAACCTTATAATGTCATCACGTTACATAGTTTTATTATGAATAAAGTGTCTATTTCCTTGTTTAAAACAAATTATTTCGGTATTCAGTTAACATCAGTTTGAATTAAATCAACCGCCATAGGTGTGGCTTACTGGCTTAAGACTGTAAGACGCCCATGTACAGGCACTCATAGTTTCCAGATATTAGACTCCTTACAGCGGGTTCTACAAAATATTTATCGGAACAGAAAACTTTAGTAGGTATTAAGCTATTAATTATCAGTTACAAGTTATTCAGCCTTCGGGTCAATACACACACACACACATACATTACATACTTCAAGCTCAAAGAAAAATTTATTTGTCAATAGGTACAGATTTTTCATCTTAAGAATCTAATATCTGGAATCTGTTGTGGCAAATACTGTGGACTGATATTTATTCATTACGCGCGAAATTTTAATATTTGTTGTTATTCAAGAAACAAATAACAACACAACTAAAAAGTAGCAGTATGCAGCTATAATCATCCCAAGATAAGCCACAGCTAAGCACACAAGTAATAATTGTTAGTTACTAGATTCTCTCACTCAATAATTAAATTCATCATTTACAAACTTTGTGACATTTAATTACATTAATTTATATACCTCCGTAATCCGCAAATGAGGAATAATCGAATCGTACAGGTAGAATTGGATTTTAACCCAATTTAGCACTTAAAACAAAGTTTTTTATACTTCAGCGCCGCGCCCATTTTCGACTTTTTATTTTGCAAATATCTCGCAAACTATTGATCCGCAAATAAAAATTCAAATGGAGGATAAATCCGCAAGTAAGGAGGAATCGTTTAAACCCTAAATGGATGCAAAATATTAATATTTAATATTTACGGGCGCCAACTTCTCAAGTCTGGCAACTTCCCGTCAAAACTCTCTGGTCTCATGAGAGTGAGAGAGAGAGGTTCATCACGTGACCACATTTAACCTCTCTCTCACTCTCATGAGACCAGAGAGTTTTGAGTTTTGACTGGAAGTTGCCAAACAGCAGGTCTCCCATATACAGACACCCTAACTTGTTTTGTAATCGTGGCAGGACCGTCTTTTTTTTGCACAAGGTACCTTGGGAGAGCTAATAATTTTTTAAACATCTATTTCCCGGTCACTCTTCCGCTTATTATTGATATTTCGTTGACATACTTATATGATAAAGATAATTGTGAAAGAAAAATACGAATAATCATTTACATAAGCACACCACAGGGGCCCCTCAGTTGATACGACAGCCAACGCTCAAGCCTCCTTAAAATGCAAAAAAATTATTTATTCTGGTCAACCAGCTTTGTTAGTGTATTTTTTGAATTTTTTTCACTGCGATGTTCTAGTAGCCAGCTTCGGGAGGGCGCGGAGGTCGGCGTGCATCCATAGCCTTTTACTGGTCGAAAAAAAGGGTTATTGGTAAAAAAAGGTGGGAAATATTAAAAAAGATATTTCAGGGTGGAACTTTAATATCCTTGAACAAGTTCATTCGTATAATTACGATTGAACTCCACTAAAGCTCGTTTAATCATCAATTATATTTCATTTCTTATTCGAGGATATTTACTTTATGTAGATGTTTGGAGATTCCGAAAAAAAGGAACGTAAAGTTTTTATTTTTTTGACGAGCTCGATTCTATCAATATTTATCCACATGATTACAAAATGGTCAAGAGAAAGCTAAAAAATAAGCTATAATCAAATAATTACACATTAATGCATATTCTTACATTCCTTGATCACTGAAAATAGAATAACTTTAATAAAAGACGGAATTTAAAATTAATTTAGGTACACTTAAATACAGCTCTGGCGCTCGCTTTCTATTTCCTGTATCTATCAGGCTGGGATTGATGGTAGTGACTCCTTGCTGGATACGGCTTGTATCAGGGACTTGAACTACGAGAAGATCATCTAAACGTCTTCCTTCTATAAGAAGAATTTTTTCTCAACTCTTCTCTGACCTGAAAACTTCCAGAAGTTTGTTGGTTCTGATCTACTTGCCTCAACGGTGGTTATGGGCTGGGCTGCAGCTCCTTAGCCACTTTGTCCATGGCCCTAGCATTTTCTATCACGGCCGTAATATTATTTCCGAAAAGTAAAACTGAGGGTTTTGTGACCCTAAGTACTTTCTGGATTCATTTTTCATATTGATTTGGTATACACAGCTTTCTGGACTCCTCTAGCTAGTTGGTAAAAAAGTTCCGCTGGTACCTTGATGGTATTGGCAACATTCGTCAGAACTGTGGTCCTTCCGGGACTAGGTTGTATGTCACACATGATCTGTGTGAATGCCATAGCGGCAGCTGATAGTGTCATTTCGGCTAGCCTCTGTTTTTCCTGATCATGCTTGTCTTTTGCTAAGATCCTCATAAAATTCCTTGCCTGCAAGTCAGAGCTGATTTCATCATTCATTTAAGGTGGTTCCAAATTCACTTTACCCCTGAGAGAAATATTCAGCGAGAGCTCCTCTTCTGGTAAACCAACTCTTATCTACTCCCTCAGTTTATTGACTAATTTTTTATCAAAATCTAGCTCTCATCCCTCCTCCAATTCCGTTGCATACATTTCCAGAAACCTTGAGTGATCCTCTTCTTCACCAGGATCATCCGAATATTCAGAATAGTTTCCTTGGCTACTCCTTTGACCCATCTCAGGAGGCTCTGTTACACGTTAACCAAAAAAAAAAGATCCCTCAATAGGCAAATGAGTGAGGTTATATGCCACTCTACGCGACGTTTCAATGGGCAGATCATGCGATATGTTGTTTCCCATACGGGGTATGTGTGTTGAATCTTGGTTCGACCAGAGGAAGACATGCGGGGGCATGTTAGAGGCCATGGTCGTTGCAGAATAGCACCAGGTAGTTTATTGAACACCTGAGGGTATTGCGACACTAAGGCGCCTATGTAAATAAGCTGCAGGGCAGCAATAAACCCATTGGCATAAATACCAGAAAAAGAACACACGGCGATGTGCAAAAAACTCTGCGAATAGAGCCACATACTTAAGGACGTTGCCCTGGATCTTTTCGTCTTGACCAGTTACCTGTATTATCGACGTAGAATCGAAACTTGGCAACACCGCCGGCTGTTCTTAAGTATACTTATATATGGGGTAAGAGAATATATACTAGATATAGCTGATCGCTGTTTATTATTAGGTATTAGTATTAAAGTCAAGTGTCATGCCTCTCGAAAGATACCATTGGAAAGGAAAATATGTGTTCAAAAAGGTTTACGAACACATGTTGCAGGGATCAGAGAACGGTAGTAACATTTTTACCTTTAAAAGGTGTACTTTCAAAAAAAATGATGCAAAGATTGGCCGAGTCAAATTTCAGTTATCAAAATTTAATCGATGCCTATAAAAATGGCTCAGAATGTGCGACTCACCTTTTAGAAGGCAGAGTAAATGGATCAGCAACAACTATTAAAAAAAGACTGATTCTCGAGAATATTCTCAATCACTTACTGTCAGTCACAAAAGTACAAAATTAGATTATTACTGAAGTTATATCATTACATGCGTAATTTTGAATGTGATATTAGAGTTGTATAAACATGTTGAGAAATAAAAGTGTTTGTCGCATTGGGGGCCGTCCATTAATTACGTAAACACATTTTTTCTTAATTTTGACCCCCCCACCCCCTACGTAAACTACAATAATATTTTGAAACCCCCCCACCCCTTATAGTAAACATAATAAAGGTAAATATAATCAAAACTTGAATAAAAAAGTAAGAAAAATATTTAAATTAATGAGTTAATTTATTTATTCACTTCGTAAAGCTTACAAATATAATAATAAAATGTAATATTACAAAAGGGTGGTAAGTTTACAACGACGCTTGTAATACCAGAGTACGACTGATGTTTCGGCAGTACTTTTACAAATAGGTACAGTAGTGACTTTACAATATCGTTTGTAAAATTAC